AATTTGTTCTGTATCCGCTCCAACATCATTTTATACTTCTCCTCGTGTGGACTCCATATGAACGCATTATACTCTAAATGACTTTTTACTAGCGCTTCGTATAAAGCCCTCACTGCACTTAAATTAGTAAATCCGTGACACTGGCGCAATATCAACCCTAGATTTCGATAAGCTTTTTTGCAGACGTTTACTATGTGGTTACGAAAATTGAGATCAGAAGTGAAAATAACCCCGAGATCTTTCACCTCCGTCACACGTTTTGCAATGGCTCCATCCACATTATATTGATATTGGAGAGGCCTTCGTGACTTTGTAAATGAGATTACAGAACATTTAGAGACATTAAAATATAACCTATTTCTGTGACTCCATTCAACTACCCTATCAATATCTAACTGTAACCTCTCGCAATCTAATTTGTCTCTTATTTCAAACACTAGTTTCAGATCGTCAGCAAAAAGAAGACAAGTAGCGTACTTAACTACGTCCGGTAGGTCATTCACCATTAAAATAAATTCCAATGGTCCCAAATTACTTCCCTGGCTTACTCCAGATCGGATGACGTATGGTTCTGACCATTGACCAGACCAGTTGACAACCTGGTGCCTATTTCTTAAATAAATTATTGTTTCACCGATAACGATCGTGTTGCACAAGATTCTAGGACTATTGAAATAACTGTTTATATAACCTTTTATTGCGTCTATAAAATTAACTGACTAACTCCGTATTGTATTTTTTTATTTAATAAAAAGGTTAAAAAAGAAAGAAATTTTAAAGACAGTAGAACACAAGAGGGAAATTTTCGGACATTGACGTACCTAGGACCTAGTGACAAATTTATAAAAGTTATAATTGAAGGTAAGATAGAAGGAAAAAGTAAAGTAGGAAGACATTAAACTGCCTCCATGGCCGAACGATCACCATGCCACGCAGAGGTCCCAGGTTCGATTCCCGGGCCGGGAGAAATGTTTGTATGGCTTACATTTATTTCTCTCGTGAGTTTGGGTGTAATTTGTCGTTGTCTATGTGTGTGTCCATGGCACCCGCGACACAGGGTTTCCCTAGTGCGGGGCTATGTTGAGTGTGTGCGTTATTTATTTATTTAACTTAAATAAAAAAACATTCCAATAGAGAACCTCCTCCTTTTTTGAAGTCGCTTAAAAAGTATTGTGATTTCCTGCATGACAAAATTTTTAATAAGTTACGATTTATTAAATGTCAATGCGTCAAAAGTCTAAAAATAAATAAAATTTTAATTAATATAGTGAGTCACATCTAGTATAAGCAGTGGGCGTAGTCTGTTAGTACATCCATGTTTGCGTTTAAAGTTAGCACCTGAGATCGTGTTGTCTGTTATTATATTAGAATGCGGGTAAAACTTAATTATTTTATAGTTGAACTACCGTCCTTGTACGCTTTCTAAAGAAAAAAATTGTAATAATATGTTTCTCTGTGTTCTCATGTAAGTGATTTGTTTATAATTCTTAGTGCGAATAAATGTCTTAAACCAATATTAACTCAAAAATATCCGCTATATGCTGAGTTCGCATAGCGTCTTGCAAGGTTGGCTAGAAGACTTCGGTTCGAATCCGGCCGGATCGGATTTTGTTTTCTAAGTGTTCGTCGATCTTTGTATTAATAATTATAACGAAGTAGTAAAGTAATTTCATAAAAAATTGTTGAATATCATTTCCATAAAAAGTTAATAGCGAGATCCCTAGTCATCGGCTGGTGTAAAGGTATCTAATCGGGTGAGGAAATACTTTCATAGATTTCTCATAGATGGCGCTACGGCTAAAAAGTCATTGAAAACCAAATACAAAGATTCAACAACAAGCACATAGAAGAATTCGTGAGGTCCGCTGGTTCGTTCTGTGGCTTAGTTAGCATAGCGTCTGACACGGTTTGCTAGAAGACGTCGGTTCGAATTCGGCCGGATCAAAGGAATTTTTTCTGAGTGTTCGATCTTTGTATTAATAATTATAACAAACTAGTGGAGTAATTTCACAAAAAATATGGAATATCAATTCAATACAAATTTAATCTGCTATACAATTAAATTGTGTAATAAAAAAAACTTTACGAAACTTTCTCTAACGCGCTGCGTAATTCCTTATAGTTTCGATCGCATTCCAGACAGCGTCATGGTGGCTAGACAGCCTGGCTACGAGCCACTCGTAAACTTGTTTACGTATAAAATGACTTAACACTAAGTTTAATAACATAATCTCAGTACAAAGTACTAAAAAAACCGACCTCGAAAGTACGTGGAATTACATCTATTTGCCAAGTTTTATTGAAATCGGTTACCGGAAAGTGCGCAAACCCGGATTCATCCCCTAGTTCGCCTCTATATGGAACTTGACATAGTAAATAATAAAAATCGGTTCTCACTACTCAAAGTATATTGAAAAACGCCTTGAATTGGAGAATAGCAAAATCAACCATTAAAATAATTGCTCCTTATAATAAAATTTAGGCGCTATTTTAAAAATTACCCTTAGAGGTGGATAATTTTCTTCAAAATTATATGGGACCACTATGGAGGTACCCTCTTTCCAACAAAAAAGAATCATGAAAATCGGTTCACAAATACCGGAGTTATCGCGTAACATACATACAAAAAAAGTCGAATTGAGAACCTCCTCCTTTTTTTGAAGTCGGTTAAAAAACCATAATAAAGATAATCAATATTTAGGCGCGTCTGTTCCTAAACCTTGCGCCACTCCTGCCGAATATTCAGCAGCGTACTTTCGGCACCATCTAACCATCAACAACATAAACTTAACTATATAAGTTTTGATTATAGAAAATGTTTCTCTGTTAACGTTCTTATGGGTGATAATGACAATTATAAATAATAATAGAAGTACAGTCAAAAGCACACCAAGGCTGATACTTTGGGCAGAAAACAAAAAAGTAACGAGAACGGACACTCTCCGCCCCTCCCTAACTCTAGATACAGCACCACGTCCCGTACATTGACGGTCACATTGACTGAATGACAACAAGGCTGTCGGCGAGCAATTTTCGCGCTAAGCTTTGATATTTCAATATAGTTTTCATTCATTCATTACGAAATTCGTACATTAATATAGAACATCATTTTAAGTTACTATTCATCATACCGTTATACGGTCGTGAATTGGGCTGTGTCCGGGATAATTATAATCATCTAAACGGGATAAAGAAAGGATATCATTCGTTTTCTGAAACATAAAACGAAGAAAGTAAAAAAAAACTTATGTCTGAGACATTCAGTTATTGTTTTCTTTAGTGCAGAGTAATATATAATACAGATTTATTTTATCAATATAATAAGACGCCATAAGTTCGTGAGCTAGTAGACAAGGGTTCTCGAATTTTCAATTTGTATTGCCTATAAATATAAATATTACGTAGTAAATATAGCTAATTATTAACTAGGTAATGATAAACTTGGACACGCAATTTCAAATACTTTGGTTACTTTACTTGAAGGTACCTGCCCAAAGTATAAAATTTTAAGTGCTTTTAATATATTCTTTAAATAAATCTTCAATATTATTCTAGTTAAAGAATTAAAGAAAAATATAATATTATATCGATATAAATACGTAATGAACAAGTGTAATTATTAGCTGACCACGTAGCGTAATAGTACGAGAAAGTGATGGGTAACCCTACCACTTCACGCACACATTTGCGCGTGTGCAGATTGAGCCTTGCTGTATGTAGTAGTAGTAGCAGTAGGTAAATAACTTTCGACTGTTGTATGGAGTGTCTGGGGTATGCTTTGGGTCGTACATATAATAAGCTTAATAGAGTTAGATTGAAACGTTAAGGTGTCATTTGACGTGTTGTCGAACCTGTACATCAACAATACGCAACGGCTACAATTATGAACTCTAGGTACTAAATTGACGAACTCGTCAGCCCAATGGTACATGTAGTGTGGATGCTGGGTGAGGAGGACTTTTTTAAATTGGATCTGGTTTAGGTGTTCTGGGTAGTGCCCCGAAGTGAATATGTCGCTCTGTAGTTCAGTTTTTAAAATGAGTATAAGACCAGGTACTTGGTGTGGTCGGCAGGCACATTATTATTATAATTATCCTTCACAATTGCTGTATTATACGCCTTTAATGGCTGAACATACTGTATATGGTAGCGTGAAGAAGCGTGGTAACGTAAGCTTCTTTGTGTGTTTGCCCATTGTATCTATGAATAATAATTCTGCAGTTGATTTAGAAATGAATAATGAAAAATGACTTCGTCTCAGATTGCTAACAGATTGATTGCATGTTTGCAGTTAATAACTGCATGCAGTCGATAATGCGTGAAGTCGTTATCCGAGACCTCGACTGCATGAATTTGATAACGACATTAACAATAGGCGCAACTACATATTAGTAACGTGACACAACCCGACGCTCCGAGTGACGTCTAGGCATGCGTCTATACGCATCCAACAGATGGAAGTTGGATTACTTGTCTTATTTTAACATGATTCTAGTATGGCTTTAGTAGTTTTCTCTTAATTAGAATAACCCCGAAAATTTGAGTGCTTTAGGGGATCACCAGACTTATTGACAAGGAAACGCATTAAGTTGGTTACAAAATGCTTTAAATTTATATAACGAGAGCGAAAACGAGGTGCATTTCGTGTAGGAGAAAGGAACAGAGTTGAACCAAATGATCAAAGATTAGTAGGAGTAGAGCTTCTTGTGAAAGAATTCCTACAGGAAACTACTGCCACCCTTCCTTGCTTCTACTGCTGCTGATGGGCGCAGTAGCAGTGCTCCTCAACACTTTGCGAATTAAAGCTCTGAGTGACACTGCAACTACTATGGACAGGCGTGTCCCTTACCACCAGGCGCACGGCTTTTTCATCCCGTCATTTATTAACAATAAAAAAAGTCTTGTTCTCTCTTTTTTGCATGAAAATAAAGCTTCTGGTCGGCTCAAGCCGATTCTACGTCAAAAAGTGTAGTAATTCCGTTAGATAAAATCTAACTGACCTGAAAGGCGAAGACTATGTATCCCGTGACGTGCGATTCGTGGAGTACGTCGTGCATTGAGCGGAGTGTAGAGCCGAGGTACACATTGATCAACTGCGCTGGTAAGAGACCCAGCAATGTTGCAAGGTGGTAGCCACACCCGCGCACGTCGCTTACCTGCGAAAAAAGAAATATAATTTAAGATAACTGTTTTATTTGATGTTTATGTTTTATTTGACGTATGAACAGCCCCCATATCTTTTCTACATAAATTTTGTTCATAGTGCCCCTCCCTATCAACCTCTTGGTTATATGGGAAAGGTACTATAACCAAGACAAGCAAGACAGTAGGGCGGTTGATGGATTGATGATGTTATGAACAATAATAATAATCGTTTTTTATTCAAGACCTGTGTTAGGTCCACTTGTTAGTTTTATAGAAACCTCAAGTACTATGTTAGTTTACAGTTTAATGTTCATAAATGTAATAAAGTAAAATACATAAATCAAATATAAAATTATAAAGGGTAACTATACTATTTTCTTTTTATTACAATTTTTTTATTGAAGGACAAACCATTACATATATGAGAAAAAAAATATATATTTAAAATTGACAATATCTAAACCTATAGTCCCCTAATACGTTAAACAAAACCAAAGGATACCTAACCCGGCAAACTGTTTCAAAAAAGCAATTTTAATGTTTATTTTATTTTATTTAAATTTTATTTTTGATTGTATTTTATTTTATTACATTTATGAATATTAAACTGTAAAGTAACATAGTACATAAGGTTTCAGTAACGCCAACAAGTGGACCTATGTTGTGTTGAATAAAAACTATTATCATTATGATATGGAGTCCCACAGCTGGGTGCAGGCTTCTTTTCACAATGGAAGGACTTGGGTGTTGTTCACACGCGGGTCTAGTGTGGATTGGGAACTTCACATACATCATTAAATTGCTTTGCAGATGTGTGCAGGTTCGCACACGATGTTTTCGTTCACCGAAAAGCTCGAGGCTTCAAATTTAAATTTCAGACATAAATTACCCGGATTTGATTCTACGCCCTTTGTTTGAGAAGCAGTAGGCCAAACCATTAGGCTGCCACGACTATTTTTAAATACAAAAAATTAAACGTAATACAATTCTACACAAGGTAGTAGTGATCAAAGGTGGAAGATGCGTGAGATGTACTTTTCAACTTATAAAATGTTTTGAACTTTTACTGCATACCTTCTACAATGGCTTCCCTTTTTCAAATATCATACTTCTGCCACTAGTATGTAAGCCTTTTGAATAAATTCATGCAGCTAGTTACTTTACCTATAATGAGATTGTACGCTTGAAACTAGGTCAGCGTAATTATTCAAGATCTAGCCCTTAGTTAAGTATATTTATTATTTTTGAGTGCCTATACCCTTTACCTTAATTGTACACGGAATCACGCAATTCAACAAATGAAACGACAATGTATTTTGGTAAACACTAAACCTATATGCCGCGCCACCGCCTCCATTGAACTTGACCGGCATAAAATCAGTGAGACGACATTTAATTTTGTTTTTATTGAAATATAAAGTAGCTTCTTTGTTATTTACTAAAATTTTCTAAAGCCGGGTTTACATTTGTCTGACGTGTCGTGTCGTGACGCGTCAGAATGGTACCTGTTTCATACATTTAATATGGTTAGATTTATATCTATGGATCCTAAGTATAATACAAAAAAGGCGAAAATGATCATATTGTTAGTTTGGCCCTTGGAGTGGCCACACAGGGCCTGCTCAAGCAGTTAGCTAATAATCAACATACACGGACCGCTCTTGCAGTCAGTCAACAGCTTGAGACTGCCATTGATAACTGCTGGAGTAGTTGATACCAACTGCAGCAGTTGGAATCAACTGCTCAGCAAGTCACAATACTAGATTTAAATTCGGAGCGTTTTTTTTTTTCAAATAAATTAATATTAAGTCGATTCTTTTTAGTAACGGTACCTAACTATCTGCTAAAGTACAAGTAAAAATATAAAAAAAAAAACATTGAAAATGAATACAAAACTGATTTAAACATGTTTTTTAAACACCTGAAAAATATAAACGATCACGGCCCGCGCCGCCGCCTGTCGAAATACCAACAGTCGCCGCCACCGACGATTTCAAATACTAATATTCTTATTAGAAAGGAGGGGGAAGCGTCGTGAAGTCCCACGCACACACGCAAAAAAGAGCGATTCGTCCTGTGTACCGTTCAGGTTCTCGGGTTTCTCTCAGAGAAAAGTTTAAGGAGACTGGTATCATGACTGTAGCATCACAATACATTTACTCAAATATTTTGTATGCCCGTAAAGATATACATAATTTCGTTAAGAAAGAAGATATCCATAATATTACCTTAGAACTAAGTCCAAACTCATGGTACCACGATTTCGTTTAACTAAGGTAAACGATTCTTTTAAGGGGAACTGTATACGTTTTTTTCACAAGGTTCTGGAGAATTAAAATATTTAAAAAAAGTGTTTTAATTGAAAAGTCATAGTACAAAATTGAAGAGTATGTTTTAGATGTAGAAGTATGGAAAGACAACAAGAGTCTAGATTCCATACAATTATGATTCAAAGTGTATTCCGTAGCATTTAAGTTTATTTGAAAAGAGCAATCTCTAGGAGTTTCTTACCCGTTCTTCTCAGGGAGGTCAGCGTAGTGAACGAGCAGTAGTTTAAAAAGTAACTTAAAAAATGACGTTTCAAGTGTAAAAAATTTACCTATGGAATAAATGGTTATTTAATAACTTTGACTTTGACATTGTAGCCTCTAGTTTTACAAAGGCACCTTAAGCAGCCCTACTTCCACGCGCAAAGAGGTTAAGGGCTTTCGGAATAAACCCTTTAAAGCTACAGTAGAAACTTCGTGGAGATATTGGCACGTGTTAGGGCGCGTTCCCATGAAGTCGTGAATACAGATAGTCAGTCTTGTATATTTAAATGAAGTTGTTCACATATAAGTACAATACGATTAACTGGTTGTTCACGACTTTTTTGACCTTACGACTACAGACTGTCAAGACAACGTGAAGGGCAAGAACAACAGTTGTCCAACGATAAATAAAACGTCACGTATGGCCTGGATTTTGTTTAATTTTATAATTTATGACTAATGTACATTGACTTACAATTATATGGACGTCGGGTCCGCGCTAAAAAGTGGCCGAACTTATAGGGCGTTAAAATCGTATACAGAGCGTCATTCACGCTTTAGTCTTCGTTTGTTCGACTGACAGCGAAGCAAACAAAATTAGACAGTACTGCGATGACATTACAATTTAAATTCAACGTTTTAGCTTTTTCATATTCCTTTACATGTCACTACGTTTAAATAGGTTGACTTGGGACATTTTTTTCGTGTTTTTTGTATTAGACCCGTCGTCGTCTATTTATTTGTAAGTCAATGCTAATGCATTCCTATATTTTAGGCCTTTAAAGTCTTATAAATGTATATAAAAGGATTTTCATTTTTTTTAACGTTTCACTCGGAATGTTTTGAATAGCTCGGAAAGCGCCCTTCAGCACGAGAACGATATCCATTCGACCGATTTGATTAAAATATTGAAGAGTTCTGATTCGGAGTCCTGGTTTGCCAACCAGGTGTCGATGTGATTGTCAAGTATATTTACATTTACTATGATCAAAGGCGAAAGTCAGGTTTTTAAACAATTTTTTTAACACCAATGGATATATTTTTGTTTTTTTTTAATTAAAAAATAATTCCGCGTTTGATCTCCATCTCACCTGATTGTAAGTGACGATATAGTAAACGATGTAGCATGCCTATTCACTCTCGCCTTGAAACGGCCCAAGTTACACCGATCAGGGAACAAGTCTGTATTCCACTTCTTAGCCGTTCGTCATATAATTGTGGAAGTGGAACCAAAGCCTACGTCTGGTCCCCTAGTGATGGAAAGGGGAAGCCTGAATTAATTCGTGTTAATTTAATTTTCAAATTCAAATTATAAACGTAGCGTAACTTCTGTATTGTATAAGTGGCCATTTTGTGACTTAATTTTCGTTCATTTTTAAGCTATATTTGTCCATGAGCAAGTGCAATACAATACAAGTTACAATAGTCACCAAAGATTTTGACTCTAGTCTTAAGACTCTATCAGTGTAGAGTAGTTATAAATGACAATACATAAACTACAGTATAACAATAACGTCATTGTGTTACGAGGTGATTACGTGAATTGAAATCGTAAATACGTCGTCTACTTCCTTGTCGTAAATAAGCCGTAAAGGTATCGCAATGGGGAAAAAAATGGACTCTACAAGATTTAGAACTGTTGTAGGATTACGTGTCTACATATCATGGTAACTCCAACGAGAAATACTTATTAGGTGGAGCCTGAGAACTGACAAATTGCTGATTCTTTTGCTATAATTTAAAGTTTTTTTTTGTTTTCGCGATTGTTACACATAGGACATTACTAGTAGGTAGCGAGTTCGTCCAGAGAAGTACTGGCACCTTACCTATTTCTGCCACCAAGAAGTTTTTTTTATAACATCAAGTGACGAGATAAACAAGTCGTGCACCTGATGATAAGTTACACGGAAATCGTAAAGATCTGAGGGGCACTGCCACTGTCACCCTGTGACATAAGTTGATAAGTCCCCTGTGCCTGTAACTTGCACCAGCCCCTTACCCTTTAAAACCGAAACGCAGTAATGCTCACGTTACTACTTTGTGGCAGTAGTACTGCCTTGGACGAAAGTACGATGTTTTTCACAAGAAGCTCTACTGCCGCTAAAAAGTCATGTCAGCAGCAGAGGTGCTGGTGAATTTACAAGTACACGGCGAAATTACAATAGCATGAATAGTCGTGCGGACTTTGATATATGTTTTGACAGTTTGTTCCGTCAGGACAAAGTTGTGCGTCCGACTCGTCAGATATTGGTAGTTAAAGCTTTTTAAATTTTATTCTTTGTTCTTGGCATTTTTTTTAAAAGATTTATATCCGATGTAAACAATAAGAATTAATTCCAAATAATTTATCGAGTTCTTAGGTTTTCGCGATTGTTACACATAGGAAATGAAACTATTTTTCCGGATTTAATATCGAAATAGTTTATTTTTAATTATGTTGTTATTAAGTGATCATGACAATGATGTGTTCGGCTGTAATA